TCCATTCTTTTCTGATCAATAACTTCTTTCTCCATTGTTTGTCAATTAACATCAATTGCCTAGTAATCAGGAGTGGGCAGGGAACAAATACTAAAATAGTTGTTAACATAATATTTTAACTGATTAGGTTTGCTGCTTTCTGTGAAAAATACTGAGCCATCAGATTATTCCAAGCACTAAATTATACTTAAGATACGGATCCCTCCATGTACGGAACACAGAACAGTTGCTCACCATTTAAAAAGATTGTGTCCTTTCCACTGTTAATTAAAATGTTCTTCTCTACAGATTCAGGTTTTTATTATTTTCCATTTGGTACAGCCATTATATTAGGTTGAACATTTACATTTATATTCCTTATTGGTAGGAAGGAGGACGTTTCCCTTTTTGGTTTCTTTAATCATTTTCTTCCACTTGCCCCCTTTTCTTTTAAAATAGTGCTACAGTTTTGTTATAAAAACATAAGAAAAAAAGATAGAAAAGAAGCCAGAAATCAGCATAAGTCAGCCCTTTAGGTATGATCTTGTACCATTGCTGATAAAAGTAAAATTCCTGTCTCCTGTTCTTAAGAATAGAGAAGTTTTTATCTTCCTATATGCACATGATCTAATTTCATTTCTTCTTTTGTGACTAGCTTTAATAACCATATGGAATCTTTTGGCAATTTTACAAAGAATAGTGTTTGTCAAATGTAGCCCAAGGAACAGGGTCAGCAGATGACTGAATAAATTCGCCTTCTTAAATAACTTGGCAATCTTTCCTGGAACCTTATAAAGAAACAGTGATATTTAAAATGCAAAAAGTGTGAGTGCTTTAATGACACTGTGATAATAACATAATATAATGATATAGGAGATCAGCTGACTGAATCGCCAATAACTCTTTGTTAATCAAATAATCACACAAATGTTGCATGTGATTTTTCCTTTACAATGAAGAAAATCTTCGACATCATGCAAAACATTTTTTTTCCATGAGATTCGCTCCTGCAGCTTATTGTCACATCAAAACAGGCCATAATTTGATGTGCTCTATTTACCTGGATGACATTCATGTGTACTAGTCTTACGTTTAGCTTGATAATGGTGATAATGGACAATCTCTTGGGCTGTCAAACTGATCTCTTAGCGTGGACAACTACTCCCCCATATCAAGTTTAGCATGGACAACACTGAGATTTTGGTCTTTCATGTCAACCATCCTTCTACCCTTCTTCTGTTCTCCTATCAGGGTTATTCAGTGGTCCCTGTCTTGGTTGCCAGGGACTTTGGGATTCTGGTGGATAATAGGCTGTCTCTGCAGACATTTGTAGAAGTAATGGTTATGTAGCCGTAATTTCAATTTAATGAATATTTGCTAGATCTGCCACTTCCAGACAGTGGATACAATTTATTGTCAGTTCTTCCCATTTTGATCCTTTCCCCCTTGATTTGGGCCCAAAATATTATTATTTCTCTTAGATCTTTCCCAGTTATCTTGTACTTCTATGCATAGCAGCACAAAAGCAATAGCCCAATATAAACTTTTGGATTGTTTTTTTAGAGCCCTGACGTGCAACACTCCATTTTATCTCTCTTTATCTTACCTATTTCTTGGTATATAGCTCCTTGCGTGATTCATGCACCCTTACAATGCCTTTCTCAACTAAGGGCTTTTCAGGAAATAGCCCTTTAGTTCTGGAATCACCTCCATAATAATCCTGGGAAAACAGCTGATTTAAATGCATTTAAGAAAAAATTAAAGCATATTTATTTCAATCCACGTTGTTGTGGAAAAAGCTAACTTGGTCCTGGGCAAAACTGCAGAAACTCAGCCAGATAGATAATACGTTGATATTTACATCTTACTATTTATGGATTCTTTCTTTAATTCAAATCTTTTATTAACAATTGTGATTGTTGCTTGTTTAAATGGTTACACTGTTTTGATGATGCTTTTGTAATTTTAGATTTGTATTAATTGGTTGTCTTTAACATTTTTATGTTTGTTTTGAATGGGTTCCTTGTACACATCTTTTTAGATGAGAGACAATATAAGACAGCACCATCAGCACCAGATTATGTTGCACAGCAGAAGTGGCTAAGAATAGACTGTCTCGGTTGGAAGATCATGGGAAGTCAATGCATACAACTACAATTGATTTACTAAAGGCTAATAAGATTCTTCAGGACAAAGTAATATTCCTAGAATCTCATTTTTACCAGGCCAGGTTATGTGAGATTGAAGTTCTGGAAAAAGTGAGAAAAATCAGCAGGTTCTCTTTGTAGAAGTTCTAATACAAAAATGTTGGCTTTGTCTAAGTATAATCAGCTAGATATTGAGAGAATTCATTGTTTCTCTTCTTAAGCTGAAAAGGCTTGGTCATTCATTAGAAACAGTTACATTGCCTGACCTATTGGTGTATTTCAATGGAGAGATAAAAACAAGTTTTTCTATTATTGAACTGCAGCATTTTCCCAGATCACATAAGGAAGTTCAACACCACAGTGAGAAATAATGGTTGAAGAAAGAAACTTCATTATTTCATCAGATTTCCAGCTGCCCTTGTTTTGAAACTATCAAACGGTGCTCAGGAATGATTTCATAATCTGTAGAAACTGAAAAATATCTTAGCTCTTTGAGTTCTTGTTGAACTTCTTTGAGAGGGGATGTTTTAAAAAAACGTGTTCTGCTGTTATGTTTATTGGTATCCAGGCTGCTAAACCCAAATGTATCTCTAGCTCCTAATTATATACTTTCTTGATGTACCTTTTTTGGCTATAAGAAAAGATCATGAACAGCAGCTTCTTTCATAGGCATACTTAGCCAACTTTGTCTTTTTTCCTCCTGTTTTCCTCTAGCTTTTGGTTTTTTAAAAAAATTCATATTTCATCTAAGATTCAAATATTTTCATAATCTGTATAATGTCTCCATTTCATCAATTCATGTAATAATAGCAATCAGCTAATCAGGGATGGCACAAGTTTTGACTATTGATAGGTGTCTGTAGATTTTATTTTTAAGTTCTTTATTGGTAAATTTGAACTTATCCCTAGTTCTTATCCCCAGTTTTGAAGCAAATAAGAGAAAATCTAGACAGATGGTCCAGAATACTTGAGGTTTGGAGGTAAATGTGATTAAGGACAGTATAACTCCAAGATTACATTTGAAAAATCTTCCTATTTTTATTTGATCACATTTTTTTTAAATACACTGTATTAAACAAATGACTTTGGCAGATGCATCTGTGAGACTTTAATTGTGTAAATTAGGGTTATACTTAAAATGCCAGCCAACATGCAGACCTCTAAATTCACTATAACATTTTTTTTTGTTATGGAAAAATGGATATTCTTTTAAATGGAGATTGTTATGCTCCATGATCTCAACAATAAACTTGATATTGATAAATAATCCCTCAATAGTGCTGTATAGAGAACAATAAAACTAGCTTAGCTTACAAACATGAAACTTTTTCTTAAATACAGTATAACTCTTAAGTCATCAGTAGTGGTTGGTTCTTATTGAAGACTAGCATTGTAACTGAGTTTTATGGTTAAAAATAAGTGACTGAAAATATAGATCCTTACAGCATAAGAAACAATGGAATGCCATAATCTGGTAACAAGACCATCCAAATGTTTAGTAAAAAATGGATAGACAATTTCAGAGAAAAGAAATTTCTATCTATTGTGGGTATAAAAACACTGCAATTAAGATGCATGCTACAAGCCTCAAAACTGAGAAAAAATGTTTCTTCTACATTTGCTTAGACAAAAAGCTGAGATATTTATATACATTAAAAGAATCTTCATAATCCGTGTACCCACTGCCTTATTTTGACAGAAAGTACTTTCACATTATGTACAAGTCTCTTGGTGGAACAATCTGGTGAGAAATTATTTTGTGAAAGGAGCATTTTTTCTAAATGTGAAAGGCTATATTAAGTTAAAAATACATGCATGTATTTGATAGCTGTTTTGCTGAAGAAGTTTTAATAAATTTTCCTCAAATTATGATGCAGAGCAGAAAGAATCTAATATAACAAGTAACAAACGTTCTCAGTTCAAAAGAAGGATCAGTTTACTAAGATGTTTCAGGGTGCGTTCTTGTCATTAGATTCAATTCTCATTTCATATATAAAGGATAAGGAAATTCCCATTAAGTGGCCCTTGGGTCCCCAGTGGAGTTCCTAAGAGATGTCAGTATATCCAGCAACACTTCATGGTCCTGCTAGCGTGCTATGGAGAGGTGCTGTGAAAAACTAGTTTTACCTTTTCTTTTGCTTATCTTATCCTACTATTCCTTTCTCTTGTTCTGCAATCTACATTACATTATTTCTTCTGCAAAGGAATAGCCAGATGGCCATCTACTGTACAGTGTGTACGTATGTAGCATGCTACAAAACAAAGCAATAGCCTTACATATTACATATTCATTTCCAAGAATGTTTCTCTATCCCACAGTGACTTCATAGACCTAGAAGAAATTCCTAGAAAATAAAAATAGTGGATGCCTTATCCCAGTGTTTTCTTTACAGGTGTGCCCTCCTGCCCAGTAAAAAAAAAAAACTTATTTGCGGAGCTAGAGGGGATGATATGGAAATGGGTGCGTTGTTGTGTATTATCTGAGCTGAAAAAGTGTTTTCTGTATACCTCTGCTGCCATTTAGTGACCATCTGGATTTAGAAATTCCAATATAGTATTGTGATACACCTACCAGTATTGGATACACTTACTATGGCAACTACTTCCAAATATATCCATTGGCCCTCAAACATATAACCCCATTTAAATTCATAGTTGTAAAGCCACATTCACAGGGAACAGCTATGTGTATTTTATGCCCACCTTCTTAATACAATCACCCATGAAACAACAGAAAACAAAACGATACACAAATTCCATCATGGAACATTAGAGCTACATTCTCTGAGTTTCATAACTCCAGATTCTTCTTTGCTACCTCTAGAGTCATTTGGATTTTGCAGCAGAGATACGATAGCCCTGTTGAAGACATACCTAAACAGGCAAATCTCTGGTTGTCCTTAGTATGAAGCAGCTTCAGTTCATCTTTTGAAAAGGAACTGCCACTCATCAAAAGCATGAGAAGGAGCAGGAAAATTAAAGAAGGAGCTTTCTTCCAACACATATTCTTTCTGAAAGAATAAAGAGGAAGAATTACAAGGGAATAGAAACAAAATCAGGAATAAGAAAGATGTAACTGAGACTCTTAGGGTAGTTTCCCATCCAGATGATCTTTAGATGTTTGGACCATATCATCGGCCTGCATGGCCAATGGCAAGGGCAATGGGAACTGTAGGTCAAAATATCCAGAACAGCCTTTCCCAAACTGGTTGTTGTCCAGATTGTGGATTTCAGCCCTCCCACCAGCTTAGCTATTGCTAAGATTTCTGGCACTTGAGTTCCACATGTACAGTGCAGTATGTACCTAAGCTGGGAAAAATGGATCTAGAGAAACTTTACTCAAAGAATGCAGACAGTGAATTATCATAATTTTCCTTTTCTACAAAGCAACTTGGAAATGCTTAATATTATACATTCATGCTATGAAAACCTGGCAGTTAATCAAATCTTTATTTTCGTGAATGAAACAAAGTGGTAGATCTCAACTAACTCTAACTCAGGGCTGCACAACTTATGAGTTGTTGAGCAAAATAGAGACTAACAGTCCCATACTGTGATTTGCTTGAAGTTTGAAAGCTTTCCTGTTTTCTCAGTTTCAGGCAAGTTTTATTCAATGCCTGATGAGCTGCTTGCTATGGCCAATGCCAGTAGCCACTAAAGAAAAATGATCACACATGAAATAGATTTAAAAACATGCATAAATCATTTTTGTATTAACACTGACATCATTAGATGACAATACACAATCAAACTTTTTCTTAAACCTTAAACTGGATTTAAAATGAGGAAAAAAATCACTTGAGTTGATTCACAAGAACTTTGTTTAACACTGTATAGTGATCTGGTTGAAATGGTTGTTGACTAATTCCTGCCCAACTTTGAATCATTTAGTGGAGCAGGGTCTTGGCAATAATGAAAAGCTGTGTCAGAACAAAAAAGATTGAGTAAAACCATTTAATGCTTCTTTCTTTTTCAATATCCTGTCACCTGACCATTTGTATCATTGTTGCAATGGGACTATCCCTTTCAGCCTGCAAATTTCCCGTTAGGGTAGAAATCTTTCAATCATATGACAATGATTTTCAAAACTATTTTTAAGTAGCCCCAAAACAATTATCAGAAAATAGAGAAGCCAGCCAAACATTCCTTGTTGTTGTAAACCTCAAGGTCAAGGCCTTGCAGCAGTGATCATAAGGGAGAAAAATGGTTAAAGACATATGGTTGACCTTCCAGTCTGGCAGCCAGCTAGTAAATGCCAAATTGGTTGCATCCACTTTAAATTATCCCCACCCACTCACCCCAATTTCTAAACCTGTATGACATAGGGATATAAAGCTGTGCCCTCTCCAATCCTTGGATGTGTTCCCAAAGACAGCCCCAAATTTTAATGTTTAATGTGATAGGAGGTGAAGATGATTAGATATTTGACTGAAGATTCATACTGCCCATATTTCATTGTTATCATAATTGAAATGGAAATGATACATTTTAGCTTTTCTCTTATTTTCTGGATTGCAGCCACTGGCATCTAATTCAAAGGCCCATTTGGACCCAGCCCAGAAAACCTTGCAAATCATTTGCTGTATGATAAGCCATCTTTGCAGAGTAGCTCAAGGTGTAGCTCGGGTGATGTTCTGCATGCTGCCATGTTCTCCTTTATTGGGAGGTCATGTCTCTTACTTTCCAAAGCTAAGTTCTTTATTGGAACAGAAGGTCCAGTCCGAATCCAGTTTACATATAAACAATCATAAGATGGGAGAGGACCAGGGCCCTGTTGTGGCCCATCAGTTATTTGTGCAGCAGACTGGACAGATAAACAAGGAACAAAATTCCAACTTTATGGGAGACACCTGCATTTCTATTTAAATGATAGAATTTAATTGCCTGATTGACAAAGTGAGCTATTGGCTAGGAATGGCTTATCAGAATTTTACTCTAGCTCCCAGGAGGAGCCCATCCATATTATACCAGACCTGCAGCCAAATCAGAACTGAAGCCAAGCTGGAAAGGAGCCCTCAAGGCACGTGCACGCACACACACACCCCGCAGCTACTTGTACCTGATCAAAACAGCATAATTCATTCTTGGGAAAAATGAGCTTTGGGAGATCCGATTATTGAGGACAAAAGGCTACTTACTCTTCCCGTTTATCTGGAGTGGCAACCTGAAGCACTCCAGATGTTGCTGCATTCTTCATCATCAGCCTTGCTTTCTTGGGGTGCTGGGAATGGAAAGTCAGAAGCATCTGGAATGTTGCAAGTTGCCTAGAATGCCTGTTTGCCATACCATGTGATCTAAGTGCATTTTAACTTTCCTAATCCCAGACCTGGATACGGTTGCAAGCACTCCATGAATCCTGAAAATTAACACTCCATGCTGCAGGAATTATGTTTTAGAATAAATTGCCAGCCCTAAAGCAGTTACTGGACAATACAAATCCAACCCACCACATCAATAGAAGAAGTGCTTTTCTTCAGGCCAAAGCCCTAAAACTCTTTACAAGATCTGCTGGAAGAAAACTGATGGAGCTTTTCACATCACTACATCTTTATACCAAAATCCTGCTTCAAAAGAAAACAGACAAGAAGCCAGACCAAACCAAGTAATATCAAAACCCCATCAACACACCAAGAGACAACTCCCATGCTAAGTAAAGGCATCATGTCTTACCAGTAACTTCGATCGCTCAGCAGCCAAAGGATGTATCTTCTGAAGACAGAACTTCTCTCAAAGAAACGGACTTTGGTGATGGTTTTCCTCTTCCTGTTTTCTTAACAATTGTGGCTGATTAATATGGGGGTGGGGCTATATTTGCTCATAAACTTTAAACAACTGAAACTAAAATGTGAGAGAAAAGAAGAAATCTGCTCTCCACAAGACATTATATGGGCACAAAGCAGATTCAGTTTTAAAGCTTGCCTTACACATCCCTCCTACAGTTATCAAAGTAATAACATGTAGCTAAAGAGTTAGCTATGTATAGAAATACAAAGCATTTCTTTTTCACCTTTCACCTTCAAAATAATCCCCCACTCTCAAATCTATAAATGGCAAATACAGTTGATAATCAAAAGAGTTCTGAAGCTTGAGGGACATCTGGATGGGGATGCAGATCCTAAAAATAGCAAAAAAAACCCTTTGCCAAATCAAATTATGCTGCAGCTGGTGGCTTGGGAAAATGATTCCATCCCAAGTTTTTGTTTTTCAAGAAATAGTTAATGCAGGCAGCAAATGACATGACCCAGAGAACTTGGTTTGGCTTCCTTACACTTAGAAGGTGTCTATGCTGTCTCTGGCCAAGATCCTCATCTCCTGTTTTCCTACCATTACAGTGTGCAGATTTGATTGAACAAAAGAGCTCAAATACAACAATTTAGCATCTTAAAAGGAATTGGATGGAAACATGGGGAACATGTTTGTTTTCTTGTTTGTTTCCTTTTTATTGGAAGGAAGGAATGAATGGCCTGAACATGAGAATTAGTCAATAATTGGTAGCAACCAAGCAAGGACTGGATGTCAGTTTGTTATATTTGGTTATTGGGCAAAAAAAAAGAGAAGAAATGATGGTTGATTGAGTGATAGTCCCTCCATGTAAACATGTCCAGTCCTCATAGCATCTTCATTTCTAAAATGTTCTGACAGAAGAGCCAGGAGCTTTGAATTGGGAACAGAAATTTTTGGGAAGAGGAAGGCATCTCACATCTCACTTGAGATTGCCCAAGTCTCTTATTTGGTGTGGGGGGGGGGGAGCTGCTTTTCATAGCTTGGAGCAACGAATTAGTACACATTTTGTGGAGGATTTTCAGTGCTCAGGTTGCAGGAATAAAGGTTGTAAGCAGGGTAGAGAAGGGCGAGTCTGCTGATGTGGACTTTATTTTGGTTTCCTGAATAAAATCATTTGGGCCCATTTTGAATTTGACAAAAAAGGAGGAGAAGGAGGGGCTGTTTTGTGGCCATTTTCTACATATCTACATTCCCACCATTAGTGAGAGAAAACAGATTGTATCAGGGAATTGGGGTGGGGGTGGGGAATTGGCGTCTACTTCCAAAGCCACCTTCTTTCTCTGACAGGCCCCAGAACTGTAAGATTCTATAGCAACCCAAAGGCTGTTGAATGGATTACAATATGGCAGACAAAGAGATTGTATGCTCCCTTCCCTGGCTGTACCAAACCAGCAATGTAGTAAATGCTGTACTTGTTCCACCAGCATTTCTTCTGCTGTGTTGATCTAACAAATGCACTTTTCTTGAAGGTAATGTAGAGTTATAAACAAACTAGTGGAACAGAAAGGAGACGGGATCTCATTATGGCCAAGTCAAAACTCTATAGAATGAACAGCAAGAGTTTGGGGAGGGGTGTAGTTCTGTATGTGGAAGGAGCATAGAGGGCCCCTGTCAGGGCTCTGTTAGTAGCACAACAGGATGGAAAGGAGGTGAGGGAGAAAAGGAAGTCCAAAACGTCTCTTCTTAGAGGGTGTACTGGAAAACAGCATATGTTCTCTCCCTTCTCAGGGATTTTCTGATATGGCTATTGTAGATTGTATACATTAAAGAACTAAATCCTACTTTCAACTCCATGCTTACTTTCAAGGACTGGAGAAAGCTATTTTCTCTTCTTACCTTCTACAGATCCCTCTTAGATAACAATTCATACATCCTGAAAGTTCAAAGGGTTTTTGACATGACTTTTATTTTTTAAAAATATGTTCTCCTAAGTTACAAATGTGCTGTAGATAATTCTGCAGCTCTAAGGAGTCCCTGCAGCTTGGAAAACCTGCTTTCTTTTTCCTGAGTGATTCAGTTTTGCTTCCAAAGATATAAGCAATCAATTGTTTATTAGAACAGAAGTAGGGACCTCTTGACCTGAATTTATCCCAAACTTTTTTTTTATTATTGTCTTGAATTATATCACCAAAGTTGTCATCTCTGCATCAGTGAGTCATCGTATGCCACTTCCTGGCAGGAGCATCCCAGAACTTGATTTGATTTTAACAAAGCTGTACGTGCTCAGCTCTTTGAGTCAGTGACTCCTGTTAGCTGTGTTGAGACCCCAGCCCCCAAAAGAAGGATACTCAAGGAGGTTCCAGGAGCAGAGGAAGCCAAGTGCTAGAGTTTTTTAAGTAGGCGGCATACAAATAATTGTAATAAATGAAGTAAGTTCTTGATTGGTCCCAAGGAATATCAATTGCATTATAGTGGATGAAGATCTAGAGATTGAGGTACAGAGTCTGTCTAGCAGCACATCTGAATACCTAAACTTTATAAATAAGAAATATGCTCTAGATCAGGTTATTATGACAAGCTAAAAAAGTGTGGGCGCCCTCCAGGTCCTGTTTGATCTCTCAGTTGCCAGTACCACTGCTAATGGCATCCTTCTGGACTACCTTCATGGGCTATGAGTGAGGGACATTGTTCTGCAGTAGTTCTCCTTCCTCCAGAGTTTGGGAGGGGAGAGGTTAAGCCTTAGGGGTGCAACAGAGTTGACAGTCCTGTCTTTCTTATCTACATGGAGCCATTGGGGAAGGTCATCCATTGGCATAGGGTCAGGTATGCCAATAATACTCAGCTATATATCCCAACCCTGGGCCAGACAAGAAGTGCAGTTGAGGTCCTGTCCTGGTACCTGGAGACTGTGAGGATCTGAATGAGGAAGAACAGACTCAGGTTCAATCTCAAAAATACAAAATGTCTCTGCATTCAAAAGCCAACTGCCCCCAGTGATATTCCATCTTTGGTTCTGGACTAAGTCATGCCCCCCTGGGACAAACTTTCTATCTAGGCATATAGGCCACTCCAATTGTAAATGATTCTGAGTAGCCTTTAAGTCTAGTAAAGTTACTTTTCACTCTCTAGGTGAACCAGTTGAATGGTTGACTTCCCCCTTCCCAATTTTTTTTTAAAGAAAAGCAGGCCAGAAGAGGATTAAGGGGTAAGTGAACAGGTCAGGGACTGGATTCCCACAGGAAACTGGCTGAACCAACTGAAGTCACAAATTCGCTGACACAAAACATGTCATTTGAAGCTGCCTCCCCTGATGTGCATCAGTGTGTCCTCCACTGCTCACATGCAGTGTCAGGAGGCAGGATAAGAAAGGAAGCACCCTGTCCAGAAATTAGTGCCTAAAGCTATTCTTGGGCTATTTCAACTGTAGGTGGACAATGAGATAAAAGCAGTGGCATGTGGACATGACTTCTGGAAATGGTTAGTGAGCCATCCTCACACTGGGGCAAGGAAGCTATGTGGATTGGCTCTAAGAAAAAAAAATAAATAAAAGCATATAAATCAGTCCATCTATTTAAGATGCTCAACTAGAGCTTAACCACTGATGTAACAACAGCTGTACTTGCTCATGGGCAGCTCTGCTAACCTTAACATCCCTCTTTTTAACTCATGGGACCCATTCTGGTTAGGTTTTAACAGGACACAGAAACAGAACATAATGACAATGATGGTATCAGGTACAGGTAGCTTCACTTAACAACTGCCCTGTTTAGTGACTGTTCGAAGTTATGATGGCACTGAAAAAGTAACTTTATGACTGGCCCTTGCACTTATGACTGTTTCATCATCCTCGTGGTCACATGATCAACGTTCGGTCACTTTGCAACCACTGGGTGTTTACAACCATTGCAGTATCTTGTGGTTATGTGATCACCATTTGCACGCTTTGCAGCTGGTTTCCAACAAGCAGAGTCAATGGAGAAGCTGGCAGTAAAATTGCAAGTTGTGGTCACATGATGTCTTGCTTAATGACCATGGGTGATTTGCTTAACAACTGTGGCAGCAGTGAGGCTGTAAATCCATCACAGTCACGTAATGTCTCACTTAATGACTGTGTTGCTTAGTGATGGAGTTACTGTTCTCAGTTGTGGTAGTTAAGTGAGGACTACCAGTATTTATGTACTTTAGCATCTAGTTGATGGCTTGTAATACGTCTTGATGGAAAAGCAATATAACTGTTTTCTCCATAAGAAGGGGCAAAGATACATATGTGCACTTTTAATCTACAGTGGTAAATAGCCAGTAAAATATCTTATCTGTTCTGCTCTTGAACTGTTCCATTTTCTTCTGCTGAAATTAATGTATCATAACATGGAGATAAGGACCTTTGTCTACAAAGTGCAATAAAGAAGCAGGCTAAACATGTGGCAGAATGTTTACATTCTTACATGCAGCCATGCACTTTTTG